ACTCTTGGTGGTTGCCCCCATCTAGACGGCTTGGAGCAGCGAGGATCATCGAGCGGAGGGTGGTGATTGTCTCTGGCTCCGATTGTGGTGATTGTGAGGGATTCTTGACCTTTCCCCGGTGGAGAGCCAAAAGGTACTCTAGTGGATTGCTCGTGGCTTGTGTGATCCTCATCTTATGTTGGTTGTGCGGCACCCTATTGAGGGTTTGGCGTGTGATGCCAATTAGCGCGTGAACCTCCAAGTGAGTGAATCGCCACAACGAGGAGTAGCTTGCCGGCAAGCAAGTGAACCTCGGTAAAAAATCATTGTGTTCATCATTTGATTCCGAGGTGATTGGCCTTCATTGATATTGATTCTTGTGATTGATTGGTTCACTCCACGACACGGCGGTATAACTATCTTGCTCTCTCTCTTTACATTACCACAAACTAGTTGTCAAGCTCTTTAGTGTAGCTAGTTGTGAGAGATTGTTAGTTTGGTTAGTGTGGCTCTTTAGTTAGCTTTTGAGAGCACACTAACTTAGTATAGTGACTTTGCCATTGTGTGGATAAAAACTATATAAACTAGAATTGTGATAGGTGGCTTGCATTTTTAGTAGGCTAGCGCAACACTTGCTTCGCCTCATAATTGTCTAACCGGTTCGTTAAGTGTTGTTGTAGAATTTTTTAATAGGCTATTCACCCCCTCTTTAGCCATTAGGACCTTACATAGGGAGCTCATTGCACTGTCGGGAGAAGCGCCAGATGTACCCGCGAAGGGTCTCACTAGCCTTCTGACGGCAGTTCTTGAGGTCCCATGGGTTCCCAGGGCGCTTGTATGTGCCCTGGAAGTTTTCCACAAAGATCTCCTTCAAATCCGCCCAACTCTAGATCGCGTTGGATGATAGGTGCTCCAATCATGCTCGCGCTGAATCAGCCAAGAATAGTGGGAGGTTGCGGATAATGAAGTCATCATTATCCGCACCACCGGCTTGATAGGCAAGCCGATAGTCTTCAAGCCAAAGCCCGGGGTTTGTCTCCCCAGAGTACTTAGGGATATTGGTAGGTGGTCGATACCTTGGCAGGAATACAACGTTGAGGATGTGCCAGCCAAAGGCCTGAGGGCCTGGCAAGCCGGGGCTCGGCCTCCGGTCCTCACCGCTGTTGTAGCGTCCGCCGCGATGAGGATGATAGCCACGGCGGGCTCCTTCCCTTGGGTCGCTGTAGGTGCGCCTGCGGGCGTCGATGGTGCTACGTGCGTCGCGGTTGCGACCGAGACGCTGATGTATCTGGGCCGCAGCGCGCTGCTTGCCGCCTTGTGGTGCTTGGTGGACTGATGCGTCTCTGGTGGGACGCACTGAGGGCGTACACTGGCTGGTGTCGAGCTCGCATCACCAGGACAACGAGCTTTCTGCCTGCTGCGCCGCTGCACGCTCGAGCAGCGTGCGCATTTCACGGTGGGCCCGTCGATCCTCGGGTGTTGGGGCCTCTGGAAGGCCATGAAGCAAGGCCGTTGAGGCGGCGATGTTCTGGCTTGCCCGAGCGAAGTGAGGAAGGGTTTCACCATCGGCGATGATCCTTTGGTTCACGTCACGGGCCACGGCGCGTGCGTGCCCACCATCTCCACAGCGTTTGATCTCCTCATCGACCTCCACGTACTCCCGAACAAGCTATTGTCCGGCTTCGTCTATTTCCCGCTTTTGGGCTCTCAGCTGCTCCACCCCTACGTGAGGTGGGGCCGCTATCCCCCTTTCGGTTGCGCCGCCGAGGTTGCCTGCCGGGGTAGTCTCCTCCGCGGAGACGCTTTCGACGTGTCCCTCGGAGGTTTCCGCCATGAAACATTCCCGGGAGGGATGATGGCTCCCCCTGTCAGAGTCAGAGCCAGAGTCTGACCCCGGACCTTCCGTGAGGAGGCCGTGGAGGGATTTTATGACGCTTTCGATCATCCCCATGAACTCATTGTTCGCGGGGGACGGGATCGCGCGCTGTGCCACAAGGTGGCTAACGGTCGCCGCGGCGTTGCGGAGACCGAACAAAAATGCCATCGGGGCGCTCCATGCGGAGTGTTCTGGAGAGAGGGTGAGGCGGCGTGGGTCCTCCCTGGACGGCTGGGGTTCGAGGGAGATGCCGGGCTGGCACTCAAGCCTCTCGTAGCCGAAGCCGATGGAGGGGAGAGACTGGATGGCAAGATGGGCCAACGCCAACTCTCCTCCCACCGTGACGATGAAGTCCAGGTCATCGAAACGCACATGTGCGCCCGGGACCTAGCTGATTGCGTGGTTAGCCATCCGAGGCCTGATTTGGAACGCGCAAAGGCCCCTACCTGGCGCGCCAACTGTCGGTGTTTCGAACAAACACCGGCTAGTAAATTTATAATTGTTGTGCGTTAGGCCTGGATGGTGCACTAAAGGACACAAGATTTATACTGGTTTGGGCTGAATGTCCCTACGTCCAGTCTGTTATTGCTCGTGTTATCAGTACTGAAAAAGGTTCATAGTAGGGGGTATAAATGGTCGAGAGAGGGAAAGGTCCCAAGTCTCTGATGGAATGGTCGAAAGGACACCAAGAGCTCAGTCGCTGCTTGGCTGTATGCGTGATGTGTTGTGTGTGTTGAACTGATCCCCCCTTTGTGGGGTATCCTACCCTCCCTTTTATAGACCAAGGGAGAGCAGGGGGTTTACAGATGGGAGAAAGAGGAAAAAACCTACGGTAGAGATCACCCTTTGGAGGTGCCGAGCTTTCCTTTTTTCTTAAGCATGTTCCACGGTCGTGACAAATCATGGTAGGGATAGCGCGTCCGCTGACCCTGATAGGGCCATGCCCTGGCCTTGCTTCGACGAGTGGTTATGTCCCATCCTCCCTCGGCAGACGGTGCGGGGTGTTAGGGCACCGAGCCATGACTCTGCGGGGGTAGACGGGGAAATGACCATACGCCTATTACTGTAGATGATGTGAGTCCTTCCTTGGATTGTAGCGGTTGTCGCATACCTGTGTTAGTATCCACGCCCGAGGGCTGAAGGCGGCGCCTACTACACTGTGGGACAAAAGTCGGCGCCTACAACACTATTCGGACACTGTTATGTCGGAAAGGGCTTAAAGCGCCCGTCCCATCGTATCCTGACAGTACCTTCCTGCAGGCGTATAGGGCATGGCCTTCGATACTGTGGTTGACTCGAATGTCCTATCGTACCCTGTGCTCATCTTTATGAAGGATTAGGGTGCAATCGTCGGGCGAGGCGGAGCCAGCCTTTAGCCATCGGGCGAGGCGGAGTCTAGCCCTCGGTGGTCAGGCGAGGCGGAACCGATCTTCCGTCGTTCGGGCAAGAAGCGCAGTAGCGTTCTTGTCTGACCGGAAGTACCAACGTTCGATGGTCATTAGTTCCACCTCGTTGGGTACCCCGGTATTAGGTCCCCGACAGTGGACAGGAAACATCAATATAGTTAACGTCTTTGTTTGATGCAACGATTTGCATGGCATGTTAGTTGGAGACAGGGTACAACTCATTATCGTATTCATATTGTTTCAAACCAAATCATTGAAATGATGCAATGGTTTGCATGTTGTGTTAATTACAGATAGGGTATTGCTCACCTGCATTTGCCATACCATTGTACCTCCACTAAATCACCCATCTTCAATACGTCAGCCACTACAGTATAGAAGGCTGCAGACAGTAAGTTGGAATAATTAAAATGCATTAAAATGGAGCAGCTCAAACAAAAGAGCAAACAAATTTTTTAAGCATATCCAATTCCAAATAAAAGGTTCAATTAACACACAAGAGGCAAACATCACCACAAGAAAGATCTTAATTTGTTCATATTATTACAGTAAGAACTTAGTTTAGTATAGGTAGCTAGATACATAACATCTTCAGCTAAAGATCAGTGAGTAAACTGAAAGTAATATCAAGAAAGGCTAACTGAACTCATCTACGTCATCAAGGTACTAAAGATCAAATTACCTAATCAAAGCTTGGAAACACATCTCTTATTATCAAACGAGTTTACTTTGGCCGCCAGCCAGGGCATCCACGTCGCCCGAAATTTTTCCAGCCGTTCGATATCGCGTTGGACGTCCCAGATTTGTTGTAACGGATTTCGTCGTAAGCGGCTTCCCCTGCTTCTCCTCGCCTTTTACGGCTTCTCCTCAGCTTCTGCTCGGCTTCTCTGGCTCCTCGTCGGAATCCGCCCAAACCAATATATTCGCGCCTCCTGATTCAGCTTCTAGACGCTTCTCCTTTCCCCATCCTCTCTCCTCTTCCCTCTCTCCCCCCACGGCCGACGGGCGACGGCGGCGGCGGTGCCATCGCGGCCGCGACCAACCACCTTGCCCGGCCCTCGCCAAGTCGCCTCGTGCTAGCCGGACCACTGCCGTGGCGCATGATGAGATGAAGCGGTGTCGGTGCGGCGGCGGCGACAGAAACCCTAGGTGCCCTCCGTCTCTGATCTGTCGCTGCCTCTCCTTCTCGTCCCCGGATCGGTGCCGTGCGGTGCGGGAAGCGCTTCGGTCGGGCGGATCGAACGGCGCGCCAAATAGGAGCCGTCAATGCAGCCGTCGGCCGCGCGCGGCGGCCCGCCTCCGACGCATCGGTCAGCGCGCGCGCCCTCACGACGCTGTCAGCACCCAAATAGCAGCCTTGACCACTCCTGCGTTGTGATCGGCCCCGTTGACGCGACCGAGGCCAGTCCAGCTGCATTCTCTGCTCTATTTCGTCCTCCCTGACCTTGCTTTGTCCTGCTACGGTGACCTAAAAAAAACCCTATATCTCCTTTGCCACCTTTTCTCAGTAGTTCGTTTTGTTGTGGCTGCTTGATTGTACAAGAATGCAGCAAAGTTGCATCCAGTTAAATTGACGATGTTGTACAGCACCCAGCTGTACTTCACCTGCTCAGCTTGTATATCTATTGTTGCTATCCTTAGCATTACATGTAGTTTACTTTTCTTTTAAAAGAAAGATATCTTACCCATAGGTCATACTGACAGATGACGTAGAAGCGGTGGGGAAGAAAGGAGCTACAATGAAGGTGCGAGCTGGATTCTACCTCAAACTCCTCCTTCCCAAGGGCAAGCCTACGCTTCTAACCCCAGAAGTCCTCAAGTAATTTCACGCTCACTGCATTGTAGTAATTTCACACTCACTGCATTGTAGTAATTTCACACTCACTGCATTGTAGCCCTTGGTTATCCCACACTTGCTTTGTTACTTATGTTATTTAGTTGCTGAGTTCCACATATTTTCCTTACCTGCAAATTCCACTCTCTATCAAATGATTCAGTGGCTGCTGACAATTGTAAAAACCTTATGACCTTCTCTATGATATGCTTAGTTTGACTCTGAGGTTTGGGACCTAGCAGTCTAGATTGAGATAGGAATCCATGCACCTTTCTTATAGAATTCTGGTAGTATATATTAAATGGTCAACACACATAATGTTTGATTGGATGTGTAAATAAGACTGTGAAAGAATTTCTTTGCTCTGCTTCTCTTTGCAGGGAAATGCAGCTACAACAGGAGAGAATAGAAGCTGAGAAGAAGCGGGTAACAAAAAAATTTCACTCACTAATAAATGCAGTTGCAATTTAACCTCAGCCTCCTTTTTTTGCCTTGAGAGTAAACTTTATCCTTGCTGTCCTTATCAAAAGAAAATATAGTGCCTTTATGTCCTCCAAATTTGAAGTCCTAAGCATGATATGTTCATCAGATTCTATGAATGCCATTGGTGGGTTAGTACTTATCAATTTTTGTTGATAATTATGACCTTCAGAATTTCTCTACTTACATAGTTAAAAGAAGACGCACAACAACTTGCCCGAGTTTTTCAAACCATCGGCCCTTTCAAGATTCCTCGCAAAGGTGGAAAAGGAAAACAAATCTTTGGGAGGCAAGTTCTAAGTTGGATAATCATTTATCTATTCTCTGTTGTCTTACTTTCTGTTTTCTGACAATATCCTTAATTGTACATAGCGTCACAGCGCAGGATGTTGTTGACATAATAAATTGACGACTTAATAGGTATATGCACATGCTCCTAACTCCTAAGCAATCTTAATAGCATTTCTCATTGTTATTGCTTTTCTTACTGCTGGCATGCTGTGTCATGTAGGGATGTCGACAGGAAGCTGGTGACGGTTCCAGAAATCCGTGAAATCGGAGAGTATGTTGCAGAGATCCAGCTTCACTCCTATTGCCTCTACTTCCATTCTGTGTACGGCCTTTTTCACAGTCTTCTTATGTGGGTTTGCTCATAATGCCCAACACCCCTTTAACTGTTGGACAGACTGCATCAGGTGCAATTTGCTGACAACCCATGAGTCATTTTAAGCCTATTAATAGTAGTGAAATGCAGTATTTAATTGTTCAGTGAATGAAAATTTGGTAGGCAATCTCTGTCATCAAATTTGCTGGTTTGTGTACTTCACCGTTACAGTTTTAGATTATCTTTTGTAGTGCTGTACTAAATCAAATTATCAAAGGATGTAAAAACATGAAACACTACATGATATTTTTACTACTTAAATCATGTGCTTGGGAGAGATGGCTACTCAGGATGATGAAAACTATGTACGGGTTCAATCCCACTGGAAATTCTGGACAGATGGACAGAAATATTTTCATCCTATAACTGGCCTCACAGATGTACCTGATTATGTATGTAACCTAAAAAATAGGGTGTCAGTGCTTGAGAGCGAGAATTTTTTTATAACATTACAATCTGATGAGTTCGGTTGCCTTCACAGACCCCTTACGTTTGGATTTATGATTCCATGTATGAATGCCTTTTACATATGTTGTCCGATTCCGCCTTTGTATTGCATAGCTTTATTTTGGCTGTAGGTGTAGATGGTTTTTGTTGCAATTGTGATAAAAGGAGCCTCTGTGCCACTAATTTATGGTTCCCAGATCTCTTCCATGCAGCCAAAGTATAGGAGAACAATATTGACATAATTCACGGTGACTGCATCCTCAGGTCTCCAATCCCAGCCCCAAATCCAAAAAATATTGCAATTAGATTTTACTTACTATTTTGGTGTTTGGTTCTTGATATTTTCTGAAATATTTTTTTATTTCAGCACTAGACCTTCATTTAAATTGGTCTGTGCTTTGGCATCTAGTGGTGCAAAAGCAGGTCCACCTGCAATAGTGACGCCCCTGCAAAATAGTTAGGGTCAACTCATAGCTTCCAATTAAAATTAGTATAGTTGGATATGAGCACCATTCGCCTGCACTCCCACTCTCCAACTAATTAAAGAATCTACTCACACGTCCGCCTCTAAATTACATTAAAGAAAAGTTAATAACGAAGCTAGAAAAGAGGAACCTTGTCTATATCAAAGTGAGTTCCAAGAAGTTCAGTGAGATACAGTGAATACTGCATAATTTCAGCTCACGTTGTTTTTGTTCGCTGCTAAAACCTACAGGTCTCGCAACTTAGAGGCTTTGGGCCAGTTTAGTTTCTACTGCTCTCAGCTGTTGGTTTTGCATGCAGTTTACCTTCTAAGCTTTGGGCCAATTAAATTTCTACTGCTCTCAACTGTTGGTTTTGCATGCTGTTTTTTTGTACTTTGTTATCGATGATATTATTATCACAGGGAACTCTTGTTTGGTATATTTGAGTCTGGTTGCTTGAACTGGCCAATAATGTAGTAGGTATAGATCTTTGGACGTGTCTGTTTTATAATCGTTGATTCTATATACATGTATGGGTCAATTAATGATACACTTAAATATTTGGATAAGGCGCACAGTTTAGATAACCGTTCAAATCTGATCAAACATCAGGCTTGAACTTTTATCAGAACACAGTAAACATACCTCTTGCCACAGCTATGTTTATGTTGCCCTTAACCTCCTACCTTCCTATTCTAAAAATCTTTGACAGATTTAGTTTCTTAGTTCCTAAACATGCTCCAATTTGTGTGCATATTTCTACAGGTTTTCATTATGCCATTTTAACTCAGTTCATATTGATATGATTTCAGGTATGTAAGAACTATCAGTTTTTAGTAGTGTGTAGTTCTTAATCACCAGTTAGCTTACATAACATTGAGGTCTTAAGACACAGCTCTAAAGATCATTGTGATTAATTACCACGTATAGAAAATACCATGATTTCAAGTAAAGGCTATGTGTCTGAACTCAATCTTTCGTCATTGTGCATGGTATCTACATTTAGCTCCTAAATTATTTCCATGCAAAGATTAAACATGTTTTTAAAGCTTAACCAGTGAAACGCATGGACTAGCGAAACATCAACTCCTACTGTATTCACGCATGTTCAGAAACCTCAATTGAGTCAGGTGTTTAACAAATTTGAGCAATCCCTCCCATGGAAAAATGAAATCAGGTGTAAATTGTAACCATAAATAAAATAATAGCACCATTAGAACATAGCATCGATTGCATGAATTCCATAACCTGCATTAAATATGATCGGCGGTGGCATGTGGTAAATAAAGAAGACGTCCTCGCTACGCTAACAGGATCATCGCTCCAGTTCCTAGACCCTGAAAGGCACACGCATCAAACATGAACAATTACCCTAAATTCCCAACAGTCAAAACATTGCAATACCAAGATCCCGATACACAAGCATGAACTCAGGGCAAAGACGAAAGGGGCGGTTGGACTCAAGATGAAGAACGCGAGCGTGCCTTTGGGCCGCCGCCTCTTCTCCGTCGGGGTGCACTGCGGGCTCGCCTTCGGACCTGTAGAGGGATCGAGGTTATCATGGTCGCCCTTCGCGTCGATATATAGTAATCCTTGGCCGGCTCTCAGGCACAACCCCCACATCATAGGAGCTCCTTCTATCTCCTCTGTTTCCTCTCCTCCGTGACCCACTCTCCTCGTCAGAGGACCACGACGAAGGCTCCAGCTCGTACTTCGCAGGAGCGGGCTGCAACGGCGTGTCCTCATCAGATTTGTGCTTCCATGTTCGATGGCGAGGCGGCGTGCGCGAGCGATGGCTGCGTTTGCGCGAGGTTTCTATCGCTGGCTGATCGTGTGGATGGCGAGGTTTCTATTCCGGGGTGGCATTTAGCAAACAGGGATCTCGTGGGGCCATCGAATAGTGGCATTTTGAGGGAAGTTTCTATCGGACGTCGGGCTTTCCTTGTGTGTGTGCGCGATGCGGGAGATGTCGTGGGATGGCAGGTTGTAGGAAGAGTGATGACCCCAATAATTATCGCACTATTCGGTTGTCTTAGTTTTATTCTTTTTAGTTGTATTGTAGTATAGGAGATAAAAAAAACTCTCCTCCTAATTCAGGCAGGAAAGGGTAAAGTGATCTGAGTCGAGCCGGGGACGGTCGGACGGAGGAAGCGCCACTGCAAGATCTAATAATGGGCCGGGCTTGTCGTGAAAAAAGACCAATTTACGTTCCTCAGCTATGGGTGGTCCGATTTGAGTTCTTTGATTTTTTTCTCCCTAAACCATAAAACCAGTTTTTCTACTTCTCAACTTTTAAAACCATTTATTTTCTACCTTTGGTGATTTTAATGGTAGTTTGTGCTAATGTGGTGCCACGTCCGAAGGTAAATGGAACTAAGTTAAAAGTTCAGGGGAGCAAATAGGATTAGAAATATTTTTTAAAAAACAAAAAATCTTAAAAATAATTTTTCAAACATTCATATAAATATTTTTACATGGAAAATAATGCAATTAAAACCTAATATATTGTTTATAACCTTAAAATTTTCACTTTACCTCAAAAAATTATTGAAACTAGTTTCGAATTTTTTTTAAATGATACTCTATCTTATTGTCCCTAGCTTGAAACTGTCTGGATCTTGATCGATTCATTTCGATGCTCATTTGGTAGTAGAAACTGTTGTGTCTATTATTGTAAAATGCAAATCATAAGTTATTCTAGTTTTCTTCTAGATATATAACTTTTGTATGTACCTAGATATACATTATACTCATTATGTTCAGAATTATAAAATATTTTGGTTTCTTAGACACATTACCTTCACTATGTATGAATGTATCTAGACATACTGTCTACGTAAGCTCTTAATAAATGTCATGTACCTTAAAAAAGTCAAAACGTTTCTTATAATTTTAAATAGATAAGTAGGTTAGTGTCGGTGTTTCGAGTTGCCACCGACTAGTAAATTTCTAATATTACGCGTCTGACTCGGATGGTGTGCTAAGAGGACACGAGGTTTATACTGGTTCGGGCAGAATGTCCCTACGTCCAGTTCATTGCTGTTGCTCGTGTTACTAACACTGAAAGTTCGTAGTAGGGTTTATAAACGATCGAGAGAGAGACAGGTCCCAAGTCTCTAGTGAGAGGAGCGAACGGGTGCCAAGAGCTCGGTCACCTCTCGGCTGTGTGCTTGTGTGTTCTGATCGGTTCGGGGTTTGAGTCCGAATCGATGTGACGTGTTGCGATGCCCCTTATGGGACGCCCTGCTTTCTCTTTTATAGGCCAAGAGAAAGCATATGTTACAGTAGAGGGAAAAGAGGAGAATGAGAAGAGAAGAAGTCCTCCAGGATCGTCGGGTCCTTCTTTTTCTTCACGTGAGTCCCGCCAACCCTATACACGTCAATAGGGACAGCTCCACGTCGCGGCCCTATCCGTCAATGGCGCCATGCGCAGGCGTTGTCTCTCGGTTGTGGCGCTCCACTCCGTCCTGGCGGACGTCGTGTTGAACTGACACGCCTGCCAGTGCTCGTACGAGGGTTATGCAGAACAGCACCGGTACGCCCGACGCTGTTCTAATGTGAATCCTCAGGTATGGCCCGTCACGGCCATGGGTTATATCGGGGCGTGCTGGTCACCTCCCTGGTGTCAGATCTTTGACCCAGTCCATTCGTTTGGACCTGAAGTGTTTGGAGGCGGTATGGGTCTCCGTTGGGCGAGATGGATCCCCCGTCCTCGGGTCGGTCGAGGCGAAGTCCCCCCAGAGGCCGGGCGAGGCGGAGCGCAAACCCAAGGGTCGGGCGAGGCGGAGCCCGCCCCAGAGGTCGGGCGAGGCGGAGCCCACGGCCTCGGTGTCAGGCGAGGCGGAGCCCGTCCCCAGAGGTCGAGCGAGGCGGAGCCCGCGGCCTCGATGTCGGGCGAGGCGGAGCCCGTCCCCAGAGGTCGGGCGAGGCGTAGCTTGCGCACCTGGGGGTCAGTTGGAGCTGTAGTCACGCTCTTGA